AGACTTTAGCCTCTAGGTTACCATGCTGCGCCCAATAAATAAATAAATATTTTAAGGATTTGTTTATTTTTATTGGAAAGGCAGATATACAGGGAGAAGGAGAGACAGAAAGGAAGATCTTCAGTCCAATGGGTCACTCTGCAAGTGGCTGCAATGGCTGGAACTGAGCTGATCTGAAGCCAGGAGTCAGGAGCTTCTTTCAGGTCTCCAACACGGGTGTAGAATCCCATGGCTTTGGGCCGTCCTTGACTGCTTTCCCAGGCCACAAGCAGGGAACTGGATGGGAAGTAGGGCTGCTTGGATTAGAACCAGCGCCCATATGGGATCCTGGTAAGTTCAAGGCAAGGACTTTAACTGCTACGCTATCACCATGGGCCCCCATTAAATGTTTTTAAAATTCTTCACCTTACCCACCTGTCATCTTACAGCCTCTGCCTCTCTGTGATACTTTCAACTTCTCTTAGTTCCTGTAGCATTTTCTGGCCCAGAGAAGTCACCTGATTTTTCAATTTTAGAACACGCTTTCCATCGACAGGTGCCATAGCTCAACAGGTTAATCCTCCACCTGGGACATTAGAATCCCATATGGGTGCCAGCTTGTGTCCCAGCTCCACTTCTGATCCAACTTTCTGCTTATCACCTGGGAAAGCAACAAAGGATGGCCCAAGTGCTTGGGACCCTGAATTCTTGTGGGAGACCTAGAAAAAGCTCCAGATTCCTGGCTCTGAATTGGCATTAATTCTGGCCATTGCACCATTTGGAGGGTGAACCAGAAGATGGGAGATCTTTCTCTCCTTCTCTCTGTAAATATGTCTTTCCAATAAAAGTCATTATATACATATATAGATGAGTTTTTTTCCATTAAAAAGCCTATAGAGTCCTAAAAATAAGACCAGAAGCCATTTGGAAATCCCCGACACGATTGCCCAGGGACAGGCAAGATTTTGTGGTTCCTTGTGGTCTCAGATTGAGTTTCCTGCCACACTTGAGCCTGCAGGCTCTCTCCTTAACCCCTACCCCAGCTCCATCCCTGGCAGAGTCTGAAGTTTCCAATCTCTTGCCTGGAGGTGCTGACTGCAGTATCAAAGGGGAGGTGCTCTGCTACTTTGAGACCTTGTCAAGTCTCTGGCACATCCAGAGACCTGTCCTCTCAAGTAGAGATAAGGGGCTCAGCGCAATGACTCAGTGGCTCAATCCTGCCCTTGCACAGGCTGGGATCCCCATGGGTGCAGGTTCATATCCTGGATGCTCCCTTCCCATCTAGCTCCCTGCTTGTGGCCTGGGAAAGCAATAAAGGACGGCCCAAGGCCTTGGGACTCTGCACCCGTGTTGGCGATTCAGAAGAATCTCCTGGCTCTTTGCTTTGGATCAGCTCAGTTCCAGCCATTGAAGCCAATTGGGGAGTAAGGCATTGGACTGAAAACCTTCCTCTCTGTCTCTCCTTCTCTCTATGTATCTGCCTTTCTGATAAAAATAAAACCTTAGAAAAAAAGAGAAGGGTGGGGAGAGATATGATGAATTTCTGCCTACCAGCAGTGAAGGAACAGCCCACTTGTCACCTGGTTTCATGGATATCTCTGAAAGGCAGGTCTGAATGGAACCTTCTAGTACCACCTTGCATATGCATACAAAGTGTAAAACCCTGAGAGCGCATCACCCTCCCTCACTTCCCTCTGCCTGGGACACCTCCACTTCTCATCTCAGCATTGCAGAGCCCAGGCCCAGGGGCACTTCTGAAGGCATAACCCCACCTCCTTCCCTTCCGTCTGCGGCACCTGCGTTGTGCTCTCCAAGCAGCCCTGGCTTCTTTCTGTCATCTCAGCTGTATCATTCTCAAGTCTCCCAAGTTGGTTTCCTCATGTGTTTAATCACTGCAATCTTGCACAAAGCAGTTGCTTGATAAATTTATTGAAGAGTGTCTTGGAAAATGCCAAGTCCTCTGGGTGATCAGCTGATCAGCTTTCACATGTTTTTAAGATATTTATTTCTTATTTTTATTTGAAAGACAGAGTTAGAGAGAAGGAAAGACAGAAGTCTTCTCTGCTAGTTCACTCCCTAGATGACCACAACTGCTGGAGCTGTGTCAGTATGAACCCAGGAGTTTCTTCTGGATCTCCCACACAGATTCAGGGATCCAAGCCCATCTATCACTGCCTTCCTGGTCCACAGATGGAGGACTGGATTGGAAGTGGAGCAGCTGGGATTCTGATGTCCCAGGCGGAGGCTTAGCAAACTATGTGCCACTGCGAGACCCGTTTTTCAAGTTTTATAAATCTTAGTCCCTGAGTAGTCCGTTTCTTAAAACAAATGGACAACTGTCTGACCTGAGCACTAAGGCCTTAGTGGGCAGCTACATGGCAGTCAGGCAGGGCGCCTCGCTCGGAAAAGGCTGCATTCTGTTTGATGCTCTGCTCTTGTACTGAAGTTCTTTTTCCCTTTTACCCTTGGCCTTGACTATTATGAAGCAAGCCCTGCATATCTGGTGGTGTGTTCCTCCAACCTCAGTGACCTACAAATTGCCACCACCAGCCAGGATCATCTGCAGTTAGGTGTGGGTATATTTGTGTATGTTTTTCTAGGGCACAAGTCTGTGGTTTTCTTCAGATCTCTGGATAAGTAGAGAAGCATTGTTATTTGTAATAATAACATTGACCAACCTTGGTCTGGTGTTGACTGTGTTCCGGGCCCTAAGGACATGATGTATGCGCTTGTTTTACCCTTCACTGGACTGTCAGGGCTCAGGGCGGGGCAGAAGCCAGTCGCACACAATGGCTGCCTTTCTGGAACCAGCTCCTCCGGTGTCCATCTGCCATGTCCTCACTTCTCCCCTGCAGTGGTCAGGAGCCTGTACTTGGCCATTACTTGCATGATCATGAGGAGGGGAGACCCCTTGATCCACTGCGGCCTAGCCCCCAACTTCAGGTCCCATCGTTACTCATGATTTTCTCAAAAGTGGCTTCTTTGGCCAAACTGGAAAGAGATGATTAGGTGATTGGACAGGAGGACCCATTGTGTTGTAAGGGCACAGCGGGAAAGCTATGGCCAGCTCACCACCACTCCTGCTGCCTGAATCCTCTTGTTTTTGTTTGAACATGAGATGCACTGCCCGGGCTACCCAGGAATGTGCATCCTCGGGGTTTGTAGAGCGAGGCAGGCAGTCCTGCAGGTGCCAGGGGAGGGGATTCTGCCCTTCCCCCCGATGGTACCTCTCCTTTTCAGGACAAAATGTGGTTTTGTGGAAGCACTTCATGGCCCACTGTTGCACTCCCTGAAGATCGCAGTCACCTGTTCTGATCTAATCTTGCAGCCTGGTACCTCTGAAAACAACATGCCATCCATTTTACTATAACATTTGGGACACTTGCAACTTTGTGAATTTGCAGGTAAAAACAAAAACAAAGACAAAAACCGACTTTGGGACTACCTAGCTCCACTCTTGCTTCTCTGGATTTTTTATCCCTTATTCCCTCGGAATCTCTCAAAACTGTTACGCCCTGCAGGTGGGGATCCATTTTCATAGTGTTGGAACAGGTTGGGTCCTTGGGAGCGTGCCTCTATGTGTGGTTCAACAAACTGTTATCGCAGTGACAGGTCTCTGTTCCTGTTTCTTATCAATCTGTTCCTCTACTTTCTGTTTTTATCGTCCTACTTACAGCCTCACTAACAGAATGTCTTATTGTACCTGGCCTTCAGGAATCTTTCCTGCAACAAACGCTGGATTGTTCTGGCTCCCTGGCTTCCTGGTTTGCTATCAGTCCTAGTGGCTGATCCTAGCAGCACTGACAAATGACCACAACAAAACCAGGAAAACAAAACAAAACAAAAAGTCCTGCAAGGAATCATTGCAAGTTTTCAGTCTTGGTGAAACAGACAAAATCATTTTGACTGGGAAGGCTGCATGAGAAGATAATGGGATCACCAAATAATTTGTGTTGCTCACTGCTGTTCCAGGTCACAGGGCTCCTAGTCACAGTCCACCTCCCAGCCCCCCACCCCCCCATCCCTGCTTTGAAGGTGCGGGAGGGACACCTGTCGAGCATCAGACCCTGCAATTGATCCTTAGAAACTACTTACAGCAGGAGTGAAGGACAACCCAGTTAATCACCCCCTCAACCCAAGGAAGCTAGCAAGAAAATGACACCAAAACGAAACACTTCCGTTTCTGTTTTGATATTTATTTATTTGAAAACCAAAGTTACCGAGAGGGAGAGACAGAGAGAGAGGTCTTCCAATTGATGGCTTATTACCCAAATGGCTACAGGTGCCACCCAAGGCTCTCCTGAGTGTGGCAGGATGCATGCGCTTGGGCCATTTTTTGTTGCTTTTCCCAGGCCATCAACAGCAAGCTGGATTGGAAGTGGAGCAGCTAGTGTTGTGCCAGATTTTGAAATCCCCAGAAAATCATCAAGTCTGAAGTCAGTGTTAAGGCATGAAGGTGGTTTATTCAGGTTAGCCTAGGTCTCCCAGCCACCTCCCCCAGCCCAGCATGGTTGGGCGGGTGAGGGGCAGGAACGGGGTAGCATGAGGACTCAGGCTAAAGAAATAAATTGATGGACTAGGGAATGGTATTTGGGAGCAAACCATGTAATTTCCAGAAGAAATGGAAACTGACTCTCAGAACAGTGCTGTGCCCCATGAACAGACCAGAGAGTGGGAAGAACTAACTTTTTGTCTCCCTACTCCTCATGCCCAAAGAATATTGATGAGGGGCAATTGCTTAGCATAGCAGTTAAGACGCCCACATTGCACACTTGAGTGCCTGGGTTGGATGCGCAGCTCTGGCTTGTGACTCCAGCCGCCGGTCAATGCATACCTGGGAGACAGCAGTGATGGCTCAAGGTGTTGGATTCCTGCCACCTGCCTTAGAGATCTGCAATGAGTTCCTATCTCCCTAATCTTTTCAAACATTTGGGAAGTGAGCCAGCAAATGCGAGCTCCCTCTCTGTGCATCTCCCTCCTTCCCACATTCTACCCTCAAATAAGTAATTGAATATCAAGGAAAAAAAAAGGTATTCTTCGTGAATTCGTGTGTCACCCTTACTCAGGGGCCATGATAATCTTTTCTGTATCATTCCAATTATGTATGGTGCCAAAGTAAGCACCAAGTAAATATGAAAAAAATATATATTTTATCTATTGGAAAGTCAGAGGGATACAGAGGGAGAGACAAAAAGAGGAATGAGGCTCTGTGCAACAGCCTAGCGGTTAAAATCCTCACTTTGCACGTGCCAGGATTCCATATGGGCATTGATAGATATCCCAGCAGCCCTGCATCCCATCCAGCTCCCTGCTTGTGGCTTGGGAAAGCAATAGAGGATGGCCAAGGCCTTGGAACCCTGCACCTGCGTTAGCGATTCAGAAGAAGCTCCTGGCTCTTTGCTTTGGATCAGCTCAGCTCCAGCCATTGCAGCCATTTGAGGAGTGAGTCACTGGACGGAAGATCTTCCTCTCTATTTTTTCTCCTGTCTGTAAATCTCACTTTCCAAGAAAAGTAAATCAAATATTTTTAAAAGAGAGAGACACACAGAGAGAAAGACAAAGAGAGAGAAAGGGACCCTCTATTTGTTGATTCAATCTCCAAATGACCAAAATGGTTGGGGCTAGACAAGGCTGAGAGCAAGAAACTGGAATTCCATGTAAGATTCCCGAGTGGGTGGCAGGGGTCCAAGCACTTGGATGTTCAGCTGCTTTCCCAGGCATGTTAGCAGGGAGCTGCATCAGAAAACTAGGACTTGAATTGGCATTCAAAATGGGATGCAAGCATTGCAAGATGAATAAGGGATGGGTAACAATTGCCAACCATCCGTTAGTGCCCCTTTTAGATCCACTCTCAGCAACAGTCTCGTTTTCTCAGAGAATCTGTTGGCAGTGTCAGAGGCACACAGCTTATCCTGGAGACCTTCCAGTTTGGAGTTAATTAATCGCACGTCTGAAGCTGTGAAATCTTAATATATCACACAGGCCCAGAGGAGTCTGCAGGTAAAAACAGACTCAAGAAGGTATCACCCACTTAATAAACACATACACAATGAGCAAGTACGGCCCAGGCTCCTCCGAGAAAGGCTTACAGCAGCACAGTCAGTGAGGAAAACTGGGACCTATGGCAATGTGCTCTTTGCTTTTCCTTTTATGATTTCTTATTTCACCATGGTACTAGTGTTTTCAGTCCCTCCAAATATCTTACCCCAGGGCTGCTTTGCATGCCTAGCAACACTTTAAATTCTTTCTGGATATGGACTCGATGTTAAAACTAGCAAGAGCCCAGAGAAACTCCCAGATGAAGCCCAAATTCTGTACGGTGAAGGATACGGAATCTAGACGGGTTGCTCTGGGTATTGCAGTAATTGGCTGAGACACACAATCAGGTCCTGGCTCTAGGAACAGTGCTCCAACCCTCCTGAGGTTTAAAGCGCCAAAGGCATCTGCAAGGAGTCACGATGCGTGGGTTGTTGTAGATGCCACAGAAAGGGAAACATGTGGCTAGGAAATAGTGCTAGGTGGAAGACTTACACTTCAGTGGTTGGTATCTTTTGACTGTTGTGTATGTCACCTGATAAGAAAAGAGGTTTTTTTTTTTTTTAAGATTTATTATTTTTATTTGAAAGTCATATATACAGACAGAAGAACAGACAGAGAGCAAGATCTTCCATCTGCTGATTCACTCCCCAAATGCCCACAATGGCCGTAGCTGAACTCATCTGAAGCCAGGAGCTTCTTCCGGGTCTCCCACACTTGTGCAGGGTCCCAGGGCTTTGGGCCGTCCTCAACTGCCTTCCCAGGCCACAAGCAGGGAGCTGGATGGGAAGTGGGATCGCTGGGATTAGAATCGGTACCCATATGGTATCCTCACGTGCAAGGGGAGGACTTTAGCCATTGAGCTACTGTCCCAGACCCCAGTTTGTTTGTTTTTAACTTGAGAGAGGGAGAGGGTGAATGCGTGCTCCCATGGCTGGGGACCAAAGCTATAAACAGGGAACTCATTCCAGACCTTCCATATGGGTGGCTCACTTTCTGAGTCCTTGCCACTGCCTGCAAGGGTCTGTGTTAGCAGGAAGCTGGGGTCAAGCGTCAAGCAGAGGCACTCCATAAGGGAGGCACCTGTCCTAACTGGCAAGTCCAGTGCCTACCTTCATCGTCTATTTTTCAGTATTCACTGGAGTCTTTAGTATCTTTTGCTCACCTTTGTGTCAAACACGATTTTCTGACTCAGATTATCCGGATATGTCAAAGACTTGGCAGGAGCAGAGTTCAATAGCCATTCGGGAGGCAACTGTGCTAACTGCTTACTATGTTGCAACTAGAACAAGAGGAGCCTCCTGAGCAGGGAGCCGACTTCCCACAACCCCAGCTTCCTGCCAATTTGGATGGAGGAGGAACCTGGCAGGATGAAATCTAAGCATAGATCTTTTCTGGGGCCAGTGATGCCATTCATTTCCAGAACAAGGGCACTGTCATTCATGGACCTCGATGGAAAAGTCTGTTAGTTATTTCCCTAGACAACAGAAGACGTCACAGAAGCCCACTAGACTGCCTTGCCTGCGCTCATAAACCTGGCTGCTCCCTGACCTCAGGTCAGCCTGCCCCACAGAGAGGATGACAGTACCCATGCTGGGAGGGTGGTGGAACAAAGCTGACCCACGGGAGCTGCCAAGTACACTACTAGCCAGAGCGGGTCATCTGTGGAGCATTCCCCGGGGAGTGCTGCATGTGTCTCCTGTAAATAAGCTCAAAGTTCCTGAGCTTGGTTTTCCATTCAGGTTGTGATTCTAAACTCCTGTTTGTGTGGAAAATTAGAAGGTAGTATGGCTTCAGTCTAACAAAGGAAACCATGAGAGTTCTGCAGAGAAAATCTTGATTCCTTTCCTGGATGTTGAAGTCCTACTGTGTGCTTTGAATCAAGGTGGTTTTGAGCAATACAGAGGATTTAGTCTTACTTTCCTCTTAGTCCACACCGACACCTTTATAAGATCTATGAATTTTGTGTACAAAAGTATTATTGTAGGGTTTGGAGCAATGGTTCAACTGGCTAATCCCCTGCCTACAAGTGCCAACATGCCATATGGGCACCGGTCGGTGTCCTGGCTGCTTCAGTTCAGATTCAGCTCCCTGCTTACGGCCTGGGAAAGCAGCAGAGCCCAAAGCTTTGGGACCCTGCACCCACATGGGAGACTTGGAAGAAGCTCCTGGCTCCTGGCTTCCAATAAGCATATCTCTAGCCATTGCAGCCACTTGCGGAGTAAACCAGCGTATGGAGGATCTTTCTGTCTGTCCTTCTCACTGTAAACCTGCCTTTCCAATATAAATAAATAAACGTTAAAAATTAAAAAATGAATTAAAAAAAAGTAGCATTATAGTGACTGCTAAACTGTTGCAGTGTAGAGTTCTCGTTACTAATTGACAATTTAGCCTATGGCAGACCTTCCAAAGGATGCCCTGACCATCTACTGATGGCATCCCTCATTCTGTGTGTACTCGATGCCGGACACCACAGTAACTGCTTTCTAGGAGTTACTTCATTCAATTCTCACATCAACCCCAGAAGTTACAGAGAAGAAAATGGATCCTCTTAGAGGTTAGGTCGTTTTTACTGGTTCCTATGTGGTATAGAGGACCCCAACCCATGCCGTTCATCATTGAGTCTGCCTGCGACCAGTGGCCAAGGGCCTGGCACGCAAAGTGAGGAGACACGGCACTGTCTTGACGGTTACGCCCGATGATTATCTTGGCCTGGGAAATCTCTGGCTTGACCCTGAAACTGGGTGATTTCCCCAGCTCTGTCCACAAACCTGCTTTCAAAAGCAGTCGTTCTGAAGAGAAGATTAGCATTTGGAAGGAATTCAGCCAGGGCTCCAATCGCCCTTTCCTGGTACTAACTTATGTTCTGTGACCGGAGGACACAATGTCTGTGTCCCTGAGAAGTCTGAGGTACATTCCAGAAGCAGACTGTTACGGTTTCCCTAGCTGCCTGACCTTGGGCAAGTAACATAACCCTCTGAGCCTTAAATTTACCTATCTGGAAAATGGGTATACTGCTAGGTGCTTGCAGGGAGAGGTGATTTCAGATGATGTGGCCATGTCACAGCCCACGTTTAACAGAGTGGCAGTTGCAAGTGTTTTGAAGGTTTGTTTCGGCGCTCCCAGTAGCATTCTGCTCGTGGACGACTAGCCCACACAGCTCCTCACTTTTATAAACGGGCACACAGTCTAATCGAGCCCTGTGTCTGGAACGCACAGGCTCCTTAAACAGCTAATTGATCGGGAGCAAGAATGGACGAACAACTGCAAGCAAAGCCAGTTGTATTTTATTTTTAAATTTTTTTAGTGAGTGGGTGAGGCCGGCCATGAAACAGAACGCCGGTACAACTCCCCCGCCTCCTCTCCCCTCCATGGACGTTCTCTGGATCTCAAGTCACAGCGAACGAAAACCGTCCAACTGGCATCCGGACGCTTCAGGCCCCACAGAGTAATTCTGGGACCTAATAAAACGCTGGGTACGAAATCCTAGGCAAAGGGAACGTCCTCCATCAGCGTGACCGCGCGGCTGGACCTGCCAGCGGCCGCCGCCCACGCCCGCCCCGCTCCGCCCTCTCTTCCTGGTTTTCCCCGGCAACCCGCCCCTCCGCCGTCACGTGACAGGGGTGCCCGGCCAGACCGAGCCTCCGATTGGCCGAGCGTCAGGGCGCCTCGCGATTGGCCCGAGGCCGGCGGGCCCCCGCCTCCCTCCTCCTCCTCGCCGCGGCCCACGTGAGGGGGGCGAGTCACGCGATTTCCGGGAACCCGTCAGGAAGGACATAAACAAAACAAACCCGAGGCAGCATGGAGAGGGGCCGCGGCCCCTGCAGCGCGGCGGGACCCAGCCCCTGAGCCGTCCCCTACACGTCCAGGTGCGTGACGCTGCCCGCCGCCCGGAGTCCTCCCGGGGGCCCTGGGCGCGGGGAGGGACCCGACCGGGCAGGGGGGCGCGGATGGAGCAGGGGCCTGCCGGCCTAGGCGGCTGCAGCGCCCGGGGCTCCCGGGGCCGGGTCGGGGGGCACACCCCGGGAAGGTGTCGGGGGTCGCGCGGCGGGGCGCGGGGGGCTCGGCTCCCCTCCCCCAGCCCGGCG